ATATATATATATAAATATTTTATCAGGCTACTTCTTCTAAAATTTGACAATCATTTCAATATAGCTTAATCATTTTTTTCAATTCTCTAAAGATATTTATCCTAATTGAGATTTTTTTAATTGAACTCAATTTATTAATAGCCTTTATTAGTAGTAAGAACAAGTTTAGAGAATAGATCTATTTTTAACAAGTTTGCAAAAGTAAATTTCAACTTCTCCTAAGCTATTTCTTTGATTAATACTTATGATATTCTTATAATCTACTTTTCTTTAACAGGAAATGTAAACTTAATACGTTCAAACTCAAAATAAATTTAGATACGCTCTGTTTATTTAATTTATCTTCGGAAGTATTATCATCAAAATATGCTTATATTACAAAATCCTAATTATTAATTTGATTTATACAAAATTTAATTAATAGTTTATATATTAATGCTAAGGATGTAAAATTATTTAGGTTTAACTTTAAAATTCTTCAATTCTTATTTTATAAAGATGGATTACTCTAATGTGATGCTATTTCACTTCATTTATATTTTCTTTTGGATACTTTGATAAGTTTTAATTATCAAATGATAACATTTTGTGTGCAAATTCGGTATAATGATCTTGTAAAATCTTACCTATCTTGTACGGCATAACAACCAAAATTATTTTGATGAATGTTTTTGCCAAAAAGTACATTATCCAATCTAACAAATAATAATATTAAGCACAGTAAGGGTGATGCTGATTTACAGAAAATTGAAGATTTATTTTATTAATCGGATTCGATTATGAATTAACAAGCCAGAAACTTAATTCTATTCTCTTTATATTTTCATTTTTGTCCAATTAGCTAAGGCTATTAAGATGGATATACAGGTTACCAAACTGTTGATTAATTTACTAATATATGATATCATTTATTAAAAGTAATTATTAAATCTTTCAATTTCAAATAATACTTCATTAATTAAGATAATAAAAATATCAGCATATTATCACAATTATTGACTCACCATAAAATTTTAGATAAGGGGCATTCCTAAGTTCCTTTTTAACTGAAATCCATAATTCTACCTAGATTTTCTAATTTTATGAAGACTTTATTAAAATTTATATGAATGCTCCTATTGGTTATTTTGGAAGATTATACCTTGCCTAAATCTTCTCTATTCTATCTTAAAAATAAAAGAAATAATTCTTTCTTAAGTTTTTTGAGGTGTTCTCTTAAAAGACTACAAACCGTTCCATAATTCTCTCAAACAATTTTATTCTAATATCATGATTTAAATTTTTACAATTTGATAACTTATTTGTTGATTGGTAATATCATTTTTGAAAAATTATCAGGTCATGAGTTTAAATTAAAATCTTTTAAAGAA